CCAATAACTAGGGCTCTTTCAACAGGTTTCTCAGTGGGTGCATCACTGAGTGGGGAGAACCTGTATAATGTTTTAATCGGAATGGAAAAACAGTGTTTTGTCCTGCGACTATGCCGCCTCACAGTCACTCAATCGCCCTGCTGCAGGGGCTCTGCAACCGGAACCGAACAATGTGTGGGACTCGCTAAGCTAGTCCCATCCAAAGCCGAATCTAAAGCCCTCACATTCTTATTATCCTCAATTAATGTTTGGATGTGTGTCTCTAGTTCTGAGATCTTCTCTGTCAGCCAAACTATTTCCTTGCATTTCTCACATGTTAATCCCTCGCTGCTGACAGAGAAAGCTACACTATACATGTGGCAAGCAGTGCAAGTGACAATAACAGGAGAAGCCATTACTCACCGTGATTGTTGAATGATTCCGACTTACCACAGTAGTTTGATGAACTCGTGAAAAATGGAGCAAGAGAGAAAATTAACAGAGTGAGAGAGAGAGAAGGAAACAGTAGGCACGGATGACAAGCTAACAGGCTAACGGAATGCTAACGCGCTGCACTCGCGGTTTACTGCTGTGGTATCGTAATATAGATGAATTTTATCCACTGATTCTTCACAGCCTCATCCTTTGGAAGTGAAAATAAACAAATTTACTGCCACAGTGCAGAGCAGTGTCTTGTCAAAATTTGAGGGGGTTCAAGTTCTCGTGGGGATGTCCATGCAGAACATAGGCGGGCATTATGCAAATGTGATAACTTGCGACGTGTGAACTTCACAGAAAAGGGATTCGATTTTAAAACGACTCGTTTTAGCGATTCAGAGTCAACTCTTTTGAGAGACAATAACTTTTTTTATTATGCACTTTCAGCTTTACAACTTTGCAGACTGTTTACATTCACATACATTACACACTGCATGAAAGTTAATTTTCAAAAATACGCAATAGGGGCAATTTAAAAAGACCATTCCTAGAATTGTATTATTTGGTTCTCAAAAAAGAACCAAATGAGAACCAAATACTAATGTCATCAGTGAATATAAAAAAAAACGTTGCCTGTGGAGAAACATTCCAAATTCTTAAATTCCAAGACCTGTGTTCGCAAAAAACAAACACACAAAACACTGGTGTGCAACGAGAAAAACATACATCTGAAAAATGTACATATCTCTATGTCTTACTGTATTCCTCTCTCTTTCTCTCTATCTCCCTTTTTAGGTGCAGATTAGACATAATCTGAGGTTGGACACTTTTGCTGAACTGCCAGTGTCATTGGTTCTATTTTCTCTGATCTGCATTGATATAGTGGAAAGAATCCGACATTGCAGACTTACTGGTCAAGGTAAAAAAAATATTTTCATTTAACTAACACATTCAAAATAAAAACACAATATAAATTAAAGCTGCAAGCAGCGATGAAAGGGCCCTCGCACCCGGGCTCACCGCCACTCGGTGGCTTTAGGAAAACAGCAAACAGTGGACAATATGCATTTAAAGTGGTAAATATTGGAGGAATATGTCAAAGTCATTTATATGTGCAAAGCTGGTGGCGCTATGATTATAACTGAATGTTGGCATGTAGATGTCTTCAGGCCAGGACTTTTATCAAACATGTGAAGTCTGGTGCAGATTGAACATGGTATGTTTGAGTTAGTGTAAAGCATGACATATACTGTTGCCAACAGGTGGTGCTATGATTATAACTGAATATTGACATGTAAATGTTTTCAGGCCAGGACTCTTATCAAACATGTGAAGCTTGGGGCAGACCAGACATTGCATGTTCAAGTTAGTGTAAAACAAGTCATTTCTTGTTGCCAGCAGGTGGCACTATGATTATAACGGAATATTGGGCTTAAAGGGTTCGTTCACCCAAAAATTAAAATTCTGTCATTAATTACTCACCCTCAGGTCGTTTCAAACCCGTAAGACCTTCGTTCATCTTCGGAACACAAATTATAAAAATATATTTTTGATGGAATCTGAGAGCTGTCTGACCCTGTATAGACAGCAACGCAACTGAAATGTTCCCAAGTCCAGAAACGTAGCAAGGAGATCTGCTACCACGATCAACGTCCAGAAACGTAGCAAGGAGATTGGTAAAATAATCCATGTGACATCAGGGGTTCAACCGCAATATTATGAAGCTACGAGAATACTTTTTGTGCGCAAAAGAAAAAAAACCAAACGACTTTATTCAACAATTCGTCTCCTCCACGTCACCCTGTAGCGCCATTTTGGAGAGTATCCGCTGGACGTAAACTGCGTATGCTGTGTCATATTTTGTGTTCGGAAGATGAAGAACGTAGGTCTTACGGGTTTGAAACGACATGAGGGTGAGTAATTAATGACAGAATTTTCATTTTTGGATGAACTAACCCTTTAAGATGTGTTAAGGACAGGACTATTATCAGACATGTGAAGTTTAGGGCAGATCAGACATTTCATGTTTAAGTTACTGTGGAACAAGTCATTTCCTGTTGCCTGCAGGTGACGCTATAATTATAACTGAATATTGGCTTTTAGATGTGTTCAGGCCAGGACTCTTATAAAACGTGTGAAGGTTGGGGCAGATTGGGCATTGTATGCATGAGTTACAACTTCCTGTTTCATGGTATTAATAGCATGTTTTAGCACTTAGTAAGTGTTTTTAGCATGTTTGAGCATATTTCTAGCATGCTTAGCACACAATGACATACATTATTGTGTTGCTAATAGTCCATCACAGTGTTAAACATGTCACTTCCTGTTGCCAGTAGGTGGCGCTATAACTGTAACCGAATATGAGCATGTAGATGTCTTCAGGCCAGGACTCTAATCAAACATGTAAAGTTTGAGACAGATTGGACATTGTATGCATGAGTTACAACAACTTCCTGTTTGATGGTGTTAATAGCATGCTTTAGCATTTAGCTAAGTGTTGCTAGCGTGTTTGAGCATATTTCTAACATGTTTAGCACACAATGACATACATTACTGTGTTGCTAATAGTGCATCACAGTGTTAAACATGTCACTTCCTATTGACAGTAAGTGGCGCTATGACTAAAACTGAATCTTTGCATATAGATGTGTTCAGGCCAGGACTCTCATCACACATGTTAAGTTTCGGGCAGATTGGACACTGCATGCCTGAGTTACATCAACTTCCTTTTTCTCTGCAATAATAGCATGCTTTAGCACTTAGCTAAGTGTTGCTAGTATGTTTTAGAATGTTTCTAGCATGTTGCTAGCCTATTTAACACTTGCTGACGCTTTTTAATATGTTCCCAGGAGTCCATAACAGTGTTAAACATGTCACTTCCTGTTGCCAGCAGGTGGCGCTATGACTATAACTGAATTTTGGCATGGGTATTTGTTCAGGACAGAACACCTATCAAACGTGTGAAGTTTGGGGCAGATCGGACATTGCTTGCCTGAGTTACAGCAACTTCCTGTTTCATGGCGAAATATCAAACTTTGTCAGGCCGCCAGGGACACTCCCCTTGACAAAAACTCAAGATCTTTGCAATTTAATGATGATTTAAACTGTAGGAGGAGTTTGTCAAAGTACGAGGCCTGGAAATGGCAAAAACTGCACAAAAACCGTACAGAAAATTCAAAATAACCTACTTCCTGCTGGGTTTTGGATTTTGAACCAAGAGACTTTTTTGTAGGTAATGTGTGCTACGATCCCTGGCATTGTTGTTTTTGTGTGTCTTGCTTTGTGTACATGAGTGTATGTGTGTGTGTGTGCAGGTTCATCAAGGAACGTGATTGGTGAATCCTGAAGCGGATGACTTTAAAAGGGCGGCGCTACCAACACATCGAGCTCGCTTTGGGCGTTTGCTTCTGTGGCGTGAAGAGCTGCGGATTCTGCCTCCGTCAATAGATCACCAACAGCTTTGTGGTTACTGTTCGTTGTTGTTTATTTCTGTCAGGACCACTATCGTCAAAGATGATTGACAATTAGATACAGTTTGGATTGGCGGTATGGTTCTGTTCTGGGCAAGAACTCCCTACGCCTCCATGCAGCCTAGCATGGATGAGAGCAGGGAGAGCAGCAATAACCCCCCAGGGTAAACAGAACAGAACTAACATAAATGTATTGCAGATATTGTTAAAGTTCAATCATTTTATGTACACATTTTAGAATTAGTCTGATTCAAGGAGAATCAGAAGGCTGAATCCCGACTGACAGAGGAGGAGTTGGGGATGGAGGAGGGTAATTAGCTATTGAGCAATGCGAAAACTGCTAAATAACATCATCCTCCAGCGGCTCACTCTCGTGCACAGCCGATAATCGCGAAAGGGAAGCCCCTCTTCAAACTCACCGGCCAGATCCACCTGCGATCCCCACAAGCTCATTCCGTTCCGTGCCTCAGCAGCGGCGGGTCCTGAATCGCGGGAAGCAGACGGCTGCCCCTCT